TACAGAATATATCTCTAAAATATGTTTGTAAAAGATAAGGACTATTTTTTAAAATATAGCCTCAATGCCATTACCACCCCAACACAGTAACATATTTGTCCTCAATATAATCAAATATCCAGTCAGTGTTTAAATTTTCCTGTTTCTCCCACGATGTTTTCTTTTAGATCACTCAATTCAGAATCTGAATATGGTCCATACAGTGCAACTAGTTGATATGTCCCTTAAGTTTCTTTAACATATAGGTTCCTTTTCCAACTCTTTTTTCTTTGCAGTTTCTTTCTTGAAGAAACAGGGTCATTTGCCGTGTAGTTTCCCACTATCTGGATGTTGGAAATATCCCTGTGTGTTGTTGAGCATATTCCTCATCCCAGATATTTTCTATAAATTGGTAGTTAGATTTAGTGGCTTCATCAGAATCAGTTTTGTTATTTTGGGCAAGAATACATCATGATTACTGTCCCTTTATTTTTCATCTACAGCCACCAGATAGTCCTCCCACAATTATATGATACTTACTTAGAAAATGGTTTTTCTGGATGCCTAAAGATAGGAAGTATCCAAACACCTAATTGTTCCAAAGAGATTTTCAAAAAATGATTGTATATTAGTTTTCTACTGCTGCTGTAATAATTAGCACAAATTGAGTGATGTAAAACATATTTATTATCTTTCAGTTCTGAAGGTCAGAAGTTCAACACAAGCCTCATGGGGCTCAGATCAAGGTGATGGCAGGGCTGGATTCCTTTCTGGAGGGTCTAAGGGAGAATTCTTTCCATTGCATTTTCCAACTTCTATAGGTGGCCCACATCCCTTGACTCACGGTTCCCTTTTTCATCTTCAAAGTCCGCAAGTTGCATGTCTCTGACCTTTCTTCATTTCTCCCTCTGACAGCAGCTTTACCAGCTGTCAATGTGAAAGGGTTCTCTCCTTTTCAGGATTCATATAATTACATTGGGCTCACCTGGATAATCCAGGCTAGTCTCCCATCTGAAATTTCACATAACCGTGATCACATCTGCAAAGTCTCTTTTGCCATGTACGGTAACATTCACAGGTTCCAGGAATTAGGATACAGACATCTTTGGGGGAACCATTATTCTATGTACCACTATGATCATTTAATTTTTAAAATTCACACTATTGTAAAATTGAGGAATGATTAATAAAGTGTGGTATGCTGCAAATGACCTATTGTGATAGCATAATGACTTGGGCTATGTGATAGATTAGGGCAGACTATAGGAGTGAACTATGATGATAATGTCATAGTGTTGCTGGTAATAGACTGTATGGTTCTTGATTGTTTATACTTTTGCAAGTAGCAGTATTTTATTTTGATCATTGTCTCCAAGATGGCATGCCAACTCCCCTAAGAAATGCTGCTTTAAGACTTAGAGAATTAGGCCCAGTGGCGCACTGCTATAGTGCACCGCTTGGGAAGCGCGGTGGCGCTCCTGCCGAGGGTTCGGATCCCACATGCAGACCGGTTCCCGCTCACTAGCTGAGCGAGGGGCGGGAGCAACACCGAGGGTTGCGATCCCGTGGCTGGTCCCGGTCTGGTGCGGGTGCGACACTGAGGGTTGCAATCCGTTGCCGGTCACGAAAAAAGACAAAAAGGAAAAAAAAAAAAAAGACTTAGAGAATTAACAGCTGTTTAGCTCAGTTGGTTAGAGCATGGTACTAATAAGATTTAGAGTAGCTCAGGTCATTGAGTGATTATTACCACCTATACAGTATCTCAACTTTCTGGAACTTCTATATCTTTGGATTATGGAATGAATATTTATTGCAGCACTTAAATATGGTGCAGTGGTACTGAGGTCTTAAAGAAATTATTTGAGTGGTGCAGAATTTTTAGACTTCTTTCTGTTGTGTATTAGAGAGATGACCTTTAGACGGTTGTCAGACTCCGAGTCAAGTTTGAGAGAAAAGAGTGTAGTGTAGGTATTTTTCATTCATAATCTATGTCTCTACTAGATAAAGCAACTTCAGGCCTTTAACGACTCTTTTCCTAATTGAAAACCCTAGAGGAATCTTCTTTCCTCATTTAAAAAATTGTTTTACATTTTAATTCACACTGGCACTTGACCCTCAGTCCTATATATATATAGATTATTCTTCAGGTGCATTTAGAATTTTACTATAACATTGGTCATCTTATAGCAGCATTGGGTTAATGATAGATTTATCTTGGACACTGGCCAAGAAGTCATTACTAAAGACCAAAGACCAAAAGGACCTCATTATAAAGTAATTCTGCTATAAAATGGTCCCTTGGAATGATCCCTAGAGACAACAGGTCATTTGAATAGTTAAGAAAAAAAGTACACAGTGTCAAAATATGTCACTAAGAGGTCCTTACCTCACAACATTAGTTTAAATAAATTCCAGATGAATTAAATAGCTAAGTGTAATGGTTTAATTCCATAGAAAGACTTGGAAAAAACATAAATACATGTTTATGTGATCTTGGGTGAGAAGACCCTTGTGATTTCTGCTTTTTTAGACATGTCTTTATGTGAAACAGTCATTTAAAAAATCTCAGACAAATGAAGCCCCCGCAACTGTGACATCATGTTACCTTCATTTGACGTATTGCGTCGGTAGAGTCACTAGACTCAGCCTCAGGGAGTTCTTCCCAAAACACCTGACAACAAAGGAAAAAGAGTTCTTACAAAGAGATCACTGAGATTATCTAGTTTAAAAAAAAAAAAGCAAATTTTCAAGTAAGGATCTTGAGTAACTTGAATTGTTTTCTTTTAAAATTTTGAAAAACCAGAGAAGTAATACATTTTCATTTTAAAAACAAAATTGCTGTTTTACTATACATTGTTTTGTATTCTGCTTTTTTACTTAATAACATACCTTGAACTTGTTTCAACATGAAAATATACATGAGAAATATGATTTTAAGAGCTATATAATGTTTCACTGTATGGTTATAATATAAAATTTTAAGCAAGTCTCTATGTTTGGGCATTTAGATAGCTTCCAGGTGTTTTTTTTTTTTTTTTTTTTTTCTTCTTTTAAGGATAATGCACATTTATTTGTTCAGATAACAAATACATAAACTGAATAACAGATGAATAACAAAATGCTTTGTAGAAAGTAGGGCATCAGGGGCCGGCCCGGTGGCGCACTGGATAGTGCGCTGCTTGGGAAGCGCGGCAGCGCTCCCGCCCGAGGGTTCGGAT